ACCCCCCCCCCCCCCCCCCCCCACATAGCCTGCCAGCCAGAAATTCCAGGTAATAGAGCGTTCCGGTTACTCAAATGTCAGATAACAGGGATTTTACTGTATATGGAAATTGCTGCAGCTATGTTTGTTGGATAATTCCAAACTGATAAAAACAAACAAAACTAGAAGCATATGAGTTTATTTTATTTGGTAACATGGAATAGCTTCATCTGAAAGACAAATGCATGCAAAATAGTTTATAGTTTTATATTTCTCTTCCTGGGTCCCAAGTTAGGTGTTCCCAGGTGACAAAAAAGTGTAACTTGGTTTCTGGGCTCTTTTGGAACCTTCCATACAATCCTGCCATCACCTGCTACACCAGCTTTAAATACTGTTACCCAAGAAAACTCAGGTCCTAATTTAAAGCTCAGTGAACCTAATGCAGTGGTTTCCATTTACTTCAGTGGGCTTTGCATGAGGTGCCATTTACATGTGTTGTCCCTTTTACACCATGAAGTTTTACATAGATGGTTTGATCACAGTTGCAGAGTTTCATATTTTTCAAAGAACTCTATAGACATGAATAAGTTTGATTTGTGGTGAGTATTATCTCCATTTCATGGATGGGGAATTAAGGAACAGAGAGGTTAGGAGATTTACATGAGGCCACACAGTAAGATGCAAGAGACATCTGAACACAGCCTGTCTGCTTGACTCAGTGGTTTAGAACTTTTTAGGTTCTACAAAGTGACAAAAGATTCATCCTGCAACCCAGCATATCGTGATAATTTCTAAATAGTTCTCACTGACTCCTAGGTTATGTCCATGGTACACATGACTGAACTAGCTTGAGTACTATCCACAGTTTGTTGCTTAGCCCAAGCAGAGCTGTGCTAGTCTTGCTAGATTGCTTCCAGTACCCAGGCTTGCATAGGTATTTCTATACACATGTGTAGACACTGATGGGGCTGGCATATTGCACGAGAGTTTATTGCTCCTGGGTGCCACATTTACATGTGCACCTGGGACCACAGCATGTTGAGTGGTGTCAGAGCAGCCCCGACTGGCAAGCAGCCTGGAGGGTCAGCCTGCCAGCCCAGGGCTGATCAGACCTGGTTCAACGTGCTGCAGAGGGGCTGACTGGGGCATCAGGGTCCTCCAGTGCAGGGCTAGCTGGCAGGCAGCCTTCACACTGAAGCATACTCATGCCTCAGGCAGCTGGGTCAGCTTCTGTATGTATGTTGTTGTGGAGTAAAATACTCTGCCATAGGGTAGTACTTGTATTTACAAGTATTAACCTGTGGTGGAGTTTAGTAGTTTACTCCAGCCTAATAGTCCTGCACGTGTAGACACCAAGACATTTACTGCGGAGTTAATTAGGCAACTAGTAAATGTAGGAGTAGTAATTAGGCAATTGGTAAACATTTTGTGCAGATGTAGCCTGTGAAGCTTAATATCTGTAATTTAAAAACAACAAATCTGAATGAATGAAATTTAGTTGTATCCAAAGGAGATATCAAATAATAATCCATCATTCCAATCCAAGTTCATGGTGGATATAGATGTGCGAACAGGGCTGCTATAACTCCAACCAACCTTCATGTCACTACTTGTTTCATTTGTTATTTTCTTGAACAGAAGTCAAGCTCTACCTACTACCTTTAAAAAAAAAAATCAGTCAAGATTTAGATTTTGTATTGGTTTTGAAGATATTTTTATTTTCTTTGCACTTTTAATAAGATACCAACCAAGCAATGATAAGAAACTCTGACAAGAGCTTTATATGTAGTTAGGAAGCCTCCAAAAATAAGGTCTGCTGTAGAAACAGATGTCTTGCACAGAACTGTGTATTTCTAATGGTAATTACCATTGATGTTTCCAAATGTATTTGCTAAACAATACTCAGACAGAACTTTTAGTTACTGGGCAGTTCATGCTTCTGTAAATGTTGAGTTACCTTTTAATCTTATGCCTATAAAAATTACTTTTTTTCCCAAAGACCTGACAATTCTGGTAGTGAAAACTATATTTAATAAAATGTAAACAAAGCTGAAATATATCAAAATGACTTAAGAATATTTTAATAAAAGTTATTAGTTTTTCACTTGGACGAAGACTATCCTTTCCTTCAGTATTCTGGGATGAATCCCTCTGGCTTGGGACTTGTCTGGTTCTGGAGTTATTTCTTCAGACAGATGCTCTAATTTCTTCATCACCTGTCCTGGCACCAACTGAATTTTTCTCATTCTCCTTTCTTCACAGTGGAAAATTTATATCAGTCTCTGGCATCTGTTCCTCCATCCTCTGCTCTCACTCACAAAAAAAAAAAAAAAAAAAAAGGGGGTTTTTTTTTTTCCCCCTTTTTAATTTAAAAATTATTTGGGCCAAAATCCCTAAGGCCCCGCCCCTTGTCTC